GGAATAAGTTGGATTCCAGAAGTAGCCAGGAATTCTGAGGTACAATGCTTTTTTTTTTTAGAAAAGAGTACTAGGCTTCCATTGCCCAAGTGTTTTACTAAGTAATTTATTAGTCCATTTTGTCCTTGAATGGAATAAATCATTAACAGAGTTATAATTCTATCCTCCAACTACAGATCCACATAACAATTTAGACTATAGTTCTGTCTCCAGCTTAATAAAGTTGGCTGGGAGCCCTACAGACTTTGAACTTCCATTGATAAAATTAAATACTACTAGAAAAAAAACACATGATAAAAGATTGGTTTATTCATTAACATATGCAAAATTTCCTTTGGCTTCAGGGAACGGGTTAATGAAGCTGGTGTCACAGGCACATTAGAGAGTTTACATTCAATACCTAAAACTAAGGACCAGATAACAAACATAAGCTGTTTTAGAAGTAGCTTCCTACTGAATATATTAGAGTTTGTCATGCAAATCATTGGCCAAAAGCAACAAGAGTCAATTGAGAGTGAGCTCAAACTTGAGAGCTAAACTTCTGTTTATTAGCCAAGTAGTCCAGAATGAGACAAAGTTGATGTTCAAGAAGCATGCCAAGAAAAAACATGCAGAACAAGCAAAAACATCACAGAAAAAGAAAAGAGCTCATCACCATTGCCCACCTGCTTGGGTAAGGTATATCAAACAACAGGAGAGGAGTATGCAGTACTGGAATGCTGCTATATGTTTACTGAATAGAGGTATTGACACACGCAAACAGATGTCACTAACAATAAAAAAAGCAGTAGAAAAATTATCTATCAAAACCATCAGTTGGAATAGCAAATGATAAATACAGATAAACACAGCTATTTTCACACCAAATCTGAAGTACTGCAGGAATATAAGTGATAGAAATATTAACTGTATTCACTAAACAAATGAAGCCCCATTTGTACAGAAGTATATAAAAGAATGTATTGCTGGGGATGGAGGGCTGGCTTATACATGTTAGAGGTTCTCTTGTCCATATTTAAGAACAAACAAAACTTCAAAATAACAGCTTTGGTATTGTATCAGTTAAGATACAATCAATGTTTATTTTTAAGTGTTCTTCAGAGAATTTTTTTTGCCTCTTATTCCTTGAGATTTGTGTTTATGTCTATATATTTTGTTGTCCATACTCTTGAATGTGGCAATTAGAACACATCTTCATTTCAAGACACAGAAAGAGACCCAGACAACTAATGAACTCATGTACAGATGTAGCAATCTGTCATCCTGCAGTGGAGGATTAAAAGGTCATGTTAGAATTGCGGCTTTGCTTTCCCTCATACAGAGTGGTTAAAACTAAAAATTATGCTTTCAGTTTCATAAAAGTAGTAAATGAAAATTACAGACAAATTTTCATATGGGCAGATTTTCACTGCTAAAATCAGAAATTAACAAGAATAAAAAACTTAATACAAACAAAAGATATTTATATGGGTATATTTGTTTTATTTCTGATCAAACACAACTTCTTTAACCCTCAAAAAACATTAAAATTTTATTTGCACATCTGTAACTTGAGTGAAAAAGGAGCTTGACTTATATGTTGTTTATAAGGTAGTTAAAGAGGAAATCTTTATTCATTAGCTGCCATCACAATACCCAGCTATGGGAGAGCCAGGTTTATTTCCCCTTCACACCCAAGAGGACTTGAATCCATATCATCTTTTTGCCAGGAGATTGCCCTGATTACCGTACTGTTAGTTACTGGGTGGTGCTTCCACAGAAAGCTCTTCTGTGAAGGGTTCCTTCTTTGTGTAAAGTAACAGGATATTAATTGGAGCAGGGACCAAGACCCAAGCAAATCCCTTGACAACAAACCTACAGCCATACATACAGTCTTTCAGTTCCTAGTTTACCCTTCCCCACCATCTTCCTCCCCTCAGGATTACCACATTGGCCCTCCAGACTGTTAAAAACAAATTCTGGTTGGAACTAGGGCGTGCATGCAATTGTCTTTTTTTTTTTTTTTTCCAAGTTATTTTAAAACATGAAACGTGTTTTCAGCTAAAAATATGCTTTCCATGTTACTCTTGTGAAGAAACATACTTTTCTGAAAGAATGGAAAGGATCAAGCCACGTTTGGCACTGGGCAGGTAGGTGGCAGGAATTTTCATCACACTTTATCAAGATAAGTTTAAAGATCTTTTTGTACCAAATCCATAAACTTTAAACTAAATATCAAGTTGTTCCTTTAAAAAATAAAATCCATTTACCAGGAAAACCTGAGCATTATGCATTATAATTAAAAGAAACATGTTTTCTTCAAATTCTCACAGCAACAAACAGGCCTAAATTACCTGTATCCTCCTTATTCTTATTTAAATTTTTCATTAACAGTAGTGGAACTTCTTGGCAGAATTCAAACAGAGAATATGCAAAGGAGATCTTATTTTCTTCCACAAGAATAAGATCTGAGCAAAATTTCATCAGTAGGGGGTTTCTATTAGGACATTTGAAAAGTCTGTCCATATTGTACACGTACTCCATGCAAAGACATTGAATTAAAATTACCGTTTAATATCGCACCAAGTTATATTTTCTGATAGTATTCATAACTGAAGACTTAATAACATCACAGGACATCAAGCAACAGCTAATGCTGATTCTGGTCAGAACAAATATAAACTTGACGGTGCTTGAAAACAAGCAAACCAACAGAAATCAGTCATCTACCAGACAGCATCATAATTTTCCCTTATTAGTATGTAACAGTAAGTTAAAAATCTTATAATCGATTTGCATTCATTTCAGAAACAAAACCTTTTTTTAAAATGGAAAAACAATAACAACAACGGTGAATATACCCTGCTGAGATTTCAATGCTCAGAAAATAGCCATCCTTGAAAAGCTTCTGATGGTGGTTGATTTGGCAACCACACTAACCTACCTTGATAACGGCACCTTTCTATCATGCCTGACAGCACAGGAACATATTCACGGAAAGCAATGATGAAAATTAGCATGTTGGGTAACATGTGGGTCCTGATTAAGTCAGTGTCAAATACCGTTCAGTTTGTAAACACCCAGGATTTTATGTACATGCTGCAAAATGACCTCAGTCTCTTGATGACCACATCATTTCTAGCACAGTTTTCAGAAACAGCATTAAATAAACCCAATTTCCATCTTTTACGGAACAAAATTCTTTATTTTATCATTACTATCTTCGTGCTGATACTGGTGCCTTTGATGTAATCTATACGAGCAGTTAACTTCTATGCAATAATTTTGTGTCTATCACCTTGTTGAGAAACTACTTTTCAAATGTTAGAGTTATAAACCAAAAGATAAATATTCCACTGAAATTCTGAGATCAACCAAAGCACATACTAATAAAAGTGATTTTTCTCAACTGTTGAATAACATCTACACCACTATTTCCCTGCATTGTGATTTGTCATATACGTTAAGTAAAAACCTCTAGAAGTGAAACACAGCGGTGAAACTGGAAGATACAAGATTTCAATTCATAGCTGCTGGTTTTATAATCCCCTTACACTAAAGATATCATCAGAACTCTGCAGTCAATGGAAAGACAACTCAGATTTTCACAGACTCAGGGGTCAGACTAAAAATTCTGCTTCACTTCGTAGGGACTTAGATAAAACTACTAGTTACTTATAAAAATAAAATTGCCACTATAAAAAACAGTCATCACTCAACTGATTGAAAAAATACAAACTCTACGTATAATGAAAATGAACAATTACTTTGGGCATTCATCACTTCCACATGTTGCTCTTCTGTTCATCTAATACATTTTTAAGTCAGAATATACCAATATGATCATTTATTTTGATTGTCTACGAAGTGCACCAATTTCCTCATCAAGGCTATGACTTCTGGTGAACTAATAAAATAAACTGTTGTAGCTTTATATTAGGAAATTTTACCACCAAAGCAATCTATTACTAAAAGCTTTAATTTTAAAGGATTTTTTTACCAAGTTGAATTTTATTTCTTATTAAATCAGTTTCACCAGTTCTCTCTTTGTTGTCAGTCTAAAGCTAGGAGTTTTAATATTGAACAAAAAAAAGTATGAGTATGTAGCTCACAAATGTTCCCATCTGAACTGAGTGGAGTTCACAGTTGTCTAAAAGCATTGAATAAATTAACAGTGATGCAGTTCATATCACTGAATCAACAACCAGTAACGGGGACATTTATTCTATTAATAATACCAGGATCACCATGCACCATGGTCATACTGTGCCTGGAATCATTTAAGTCTGAATGTGGTAAACAAAGAACAATATCATCTTTACCTAACGGTAAGATGAAAACCAGCAGCTGTTGTATGGAACTCACTGTAGATACAGTGCTAAATATAACCTGTGCTAACATAAGTGTACGAACACAACACATATCTTGATACAACCGGCAAACCATTCTCATCCAATCAGATGTTTGAATAAGGAATTGGTGCCTGAGTGTAATGTAAAGGAAAGTTTTATTCAGATTAAAAAAAAAAAAAAAAAAAAATCATCCTTTGACATTTGCTCTTTTTTATAAAGAATTAACATTCTCAACATGAGACCAATTCAATCAACAAGTTATCACATTAACCTTTTTAGTAATTTTTTTCAGCTGCTTTCAAAGCAGTCTCAGAATTTCAGATACACTTTTCATACAAACCTGAAAACTCAACATAAGGACATTGTCAGTTTTTCAACGATCAAGAAGAACCTGAAATTTTCCACTGAAAAACCTTCCCCCCAACCCCAGATGGTACTTCAGAATGCAATTGTAATTCAGATTCATTGCATTTAGGTACTTCAAACCCATGACTATTTAGTATCACACACGAGTTCAAACACTGGAGTTCTCATTGGAGGGGAATTCTGAAGATCAAACTATACATTCAGACAACCACATTTTTCCTCTATGGTTACAGCCTTTTACAATCTGAGAGTCCTGCTGTTAGAACACCCTTCCATAAGCTTGAAGAAGGATAAGTGACCTACCTTAGAAAGTCCGCCTACTTCCAAATAGAAGCAGATAATGAAAACATTCCAGGTGACCCACAGGGCAGTCCACACCGTGTACTAAACACAAAGCCAGATGAAAGCAAAGAGAGAAAAATAAAATGTGAAGATGCAAGGATTTTATACTGAGCAGATCAATAATAACAAAACTGATATCAATACACAATGTTCTTCTGGGAACAGCCAAGCACAGAGAATTCAGAAAAGGAGTTCTCCCTGCAGAAGTCCCTTAAGAACCACAGGAAATTACAAATCCAATATTCATTGCTGCTCTAAATACATACCAATAAAACAGATTTATTCTTTACAGTTTTACATTGTCCTACTGATGTCAATTAAGTCCAAAATGCTGATGATAACACTGGTTTGGAGGCAACTGTGAGTCATTCATAATTTGTGATTTAGCTCTGTTAATGGAGGTTCTAGAATAGCAGAGTAATTTAAATAAACAAATATTATAAAAATAATATTTAAATATTATGAAAAAAGGCAAAAGAAAAAGCCACCATCAAATAAAACAGAAGATCTATTAATCTGATATTTGCATATTTTTAAAAAACAAACAGGTAAAAGCTAAATCTGATCTCTTATGAATCTTTTTAAATTACATTAAAAATAGCTCACTACTGCTCCAGCATTTGTGGCCACAAACCCAATCCTACAATACACCCTTAACATGTGAACACATCCATAACTCTTCTGGGGTCCCTGGTGTCCTACCCTAGAGCAAGACTGAACCCAATTCCACCCACAGCATGAATAGGAGATTAATTAATCTACTTTAAATCATCTTTTGCATCTTAATTGTCAGCATAATTGACTGGCACTATTTCCTTACAGATACACACTGTTTATCTATACATGACTGTAAACTATGCCCAGTTCAGAAGCATTTCAGTCTGGCAGGCTGCCTGCACACCCAGCCACCCTGGAGCTACACCCACCTGAAAAACGCAGCATGACTTTACACTTATGCACTTGGAACTTTCACAGTGGATAAGGGCTGCTAAATGCCTCTGCAAGTTTAATTAGCTGTGACCAGGTGAAGCTAATAATGCTATTTTTTTTCTTCAATATACTCAGAGCTCAACACCCTAATCTACAATATGCTGGATCCCATTTTACTGCATAGGTGCCATCTGATTGGCTTGCTTAGGCAGTTTTGGGTTATGTTCCCCTCTCCCTTCCCCTCCATGTGATGTATAACAAAAGGCTCAGGTGAAGACAGTTTAATTTTTTCACACTTTGATTAACCCCACATGTATACAGTCCTTTCTGTATACCAAACAGGTTAGTTGCTTTAATTTAATTTCTTTTGAGGTACTTAGGCTGTTTGGAGATGGCTCTAGCATAAGATCATTAATAAAATAAGAGTAACATTCTTGGGCCCTTTCCTCTGGCTTACAGAGAAGGGCAGTGTGGCAACAGAAGGCTCAGTAGTTAGAAAATAGACCACTCTGCTGTGGTCTGTGAGCAGTATAAAGTCTGTACTATTCGTAAGATTAACTTGTAAGAGGATATCACATTTTACCACATTTGCTGACTTTGTATTAACTCATCATAAGCTCCTGATTTTCCAACATATCTCCTCAGAACATCAGGTGCAGAGCGTTCAAAATTAACGAACACTCAATAGAAGACCAGTTGCGTGTCAAAAGCAGATTTCAGAATATTCAGGAGAATTCCCCTTTTTAAGAAAGAAATTTTTATTTGTCCATGAATGAAACCTGTTATCACAGCAACAGGAGACCTACTTGATCTGCCAGGCCATGCCAGATCTGTTAATGGCCTCATTCTGTCCCATGGGCACCAATGACAACTCTGAAACATGCAGGCAAAAACTGTCTGAACATGCTTTCCCAGGCCAAGCTGGGCTGTTTTACATAGTCAGGACTTCTTCAGTTCCTTATCCACTGTGAGGATTACTGAAAAAGAAGTGCAGGTCCAAAGCAGGTGTGCACCTTGAAACCCATCTGCTGCGTATGGAGAGGCTCCTCCTACACTCACTGAACTGCAGGAATATAAATTTAAGATCCATTTACTTTAAGAACATAGTAATTACATATTCAGTAATTAGTACTATAAAATGTTTAAAATAAAGTTGTTGTCCACATTTGAAAACACAACTTTTTGGACATGCAAGTAGCAGATTTTTTCCATGTATAGTGTCATAGGTACTCATGGAAGACTACATTAAAAGAAAGGTTTTAAGACAGCAAAAGCAAGAAAGAAAGTTAGGAAAGGTCTGAATTCTGGTTATATATGCCGTCCTAATTTATTTTGTGGATGTGCAATACAATGCAAACATTAATTGAATGATCATAAGTATATTTTTATTTTAAAAGACCATAGCTCCCTTAATACATTTTATGGACAGCTAACTCAATACTTCATTTCTCTTTGTTGTACAGACCCTGCTCTGAGGACAGAATATAAATTTCCTCATGAGATTTTCTAAGATGCTCATCGCTGTAATGTGTGAGAGCTGCACAAACATTAACTAATTTATTTTATGTTATAAGGGAATGATACAGCTCTCAGAATGCAAATGATGTTCTGATACATGCAGAGATTACATTCAGAAGTATTCATACATTATAGGCATCCAACTTGAGATGCTTAAGACTTCATTTTTCAGAACACTTGAGGTTATACAGTGCGTTATAAGCCCTGTGTTCAGCTCCCTGTGGCTGAGCATTCAGCATTTGTGCAAATGAGACCACAAAGTCTCAAGACAAGAACCCAGAATGCAAGGGGAAAACAAAGAATGTGAGAAGTTTGGTTTAAGTGACTCGCTTTGTGTCAAAAAAGGTTTCAGTGCTTGAGCAGAGATAAAACTCAGCTATCCAGCACAGCTTTCACAACAAAAGCAATCCTTTTATTCTTGCTGTCACATGCCTCATTCTTCCCATGCTTTCTGTTTTCTTCAAATCAAGTTTCTATTCTCTAGCTGTGATTACTAGAAAACTACTAAATGTCTGTCCTTTCCATTGTCCCTAGAAAAAAATTGGTATGCATCTGCACAGTTCAAAACTGCATATACATAAAAGGATCACATTAAGATTGCACTTAGGAGGGCTTTAATAACAGCTTTTCTTAATTTCTGAGTGTTTCTTCCTGAAAAATTTGTAATACTTTCTGAACATTATGTGCATGCGTGTAAATTTATGTGTATATACCTTCAAGGTTTAAAAAAAAAATTAACAATATTCAATTATGTGGCATCCCACTAGCACCTGCTTGAGTCACTAAGAGGTGTAACTTTTAGATCCATGAGGAAGACCTCTCCTTTTTGCTAGCAGAGAAACTGCCTGCAGCCCCGAGCTGTCATCTTCTGTGGAAAGGGACATGTCATGTATGCTGGCAGACATCTGCTGTCAGTGAAGGAATGGTGAGGGTCTGACACATCAGGTCCACACTGATCCTCAGGGATCATTTGTCTCACAAGACACTTCACTTAACCTGTTTCATGACCTAACCTGCCATTCAACCTTTCCCACCCTGTGTCTTGAACACTACAACCCTGACCGTCCTGCTCTTCCAGATCACTCTTACATCCCACACCCAACGATTCCTGCCCCAGTTCTTTGGCCAGCCACAGTCAGTCCCCTCCCGCTCTGCTGGCCTCATGCTCAGCATCACAATCCTCACCGTATCTGGCATGGAGAACGAAATTTTATGCACAGGTTGAATACGTAAAAAGAGTTGGGTTTTTATTTTATACTCCATATGATGCACTACTTAAAAATCACCTGGATATTTCTAACAGATTCCTTCTACTGGAAGGACCTAGGACACTGGTGATAATCTTTGCTGAATTCTCCTCACGATGAACTGTATATTTTCTTTCTTTTGGTCTTTTACACTAAGGATCTGAAATGCTGTGGTTTTGAAATGCTGGGGTTTCAACCCCAAGCCCCAAATTAAGGTTAACATATGGGTGATTCCCACAGCCCTTCACAAAGTGGGGGTGAGTTTACCTTTAAGCTTCCCTCCAGGGTGGTGCCGGCCTTGCAGGGAGAGCCATTGGGTAAATGAGCCCCAGGTGTCTGCAGTAAGTAACCCAAGGTCAGGTGTCCCACTGAGGGATAAAAGCTGGGACCCCTTGCAAGCAGGGGCCGTGTCTGTCTGTGAGGTGGATGCACTGTGCAGAGTTCCCTGTTGGGGAAGGACCTCCTGCCTCCCTGGGACTGGGCTCCAGTCAGGTCTGGCTCTTGTAAACATGGGCTGTGTAGAGATTCAGTATGTGGCTTCCTTAGTCTTATGTGTTTGGTTTGTTGACTCAGTTATCTTCCCTTCTATCCAGAAAATGCGTTTCACTGTTTATTCCACCTGTTGTTGGTTGTGGGGTGTTGTTGGGGTCAGTGGGATTGATGTTGGTTATGTATAATCTGATTTGTTTGTACCCCTAGTGCTCACCCATGTACTGACCCTTTTGTATCAAATACAATCTGGTTATTGGTTCATCTTTATGCTAGGCCTAATAATTGGCAAAACAGCATCATATGTGGTGTGAGGAAGCATTTGGAGTCTTATAAGCTACCTGGAGAGAGTATTCCCTAAATCTTGGAGGCTAAATGTCTATTAAATTATTGTCTAACCCAGTAGGTTCCTTTCAGATCCTCATTCTTAATGCCAGACTCTCTACAATAGTGATATTTCTATACCTCTTGATTCTACAGGTCATGTTGAAGCCAATGCAGAGATACTTCTCATAAATTGGTGAAATACAACCATTTCTAGAGTTAAGTCATTGGTATTAGATGGACACAACATCATAAAAAGAGGGGGTTAAGGAAAAATGCGAAGGATGACTTCATAAACTGACAAGTAAGAGAGAAAAGAGAAATTACTAACTCTAAATATTACAAGGATTGTGGGATAAATGTAGCTTTAATGAATAAACTATCTCAAGTGTATATTTAATCTGAAGTGCAGCATTTCCTCTGACAGTGTCTTGGCAGTAGGGGAAATGAATGTTGGCTTGGGGACTTCAAGGGAAAGACAGCAACTACTGAGTCATCAGATCAGCCCTCTAATACCTGGCTGTGCCTCAGAGG